CGTGGTAAATCAGCACTTAAAATTGCAATTAACAATTTCATTGGTGCCGGCGGGGATCGAACCCGGGTTACTCGCGTTCTGTTATATTTACAGCGAGCGTTAACCATCTGAGCTACCACGGCTCTCTATTAGTATTTAAATCTAAATCAAATATTATTATATAATTTTAGTACTTAACACTTTTGTAAGATACCAAATACGCAGAAGATAGCATTTATCATTCAGTGGAATCGCAAAAGCCATTGCCAATAGAAACTATGTTCATTAGGTATCTCCAAGGAAACTGAGGTGCCTTCCTCATCGCAACTAACGCTAACTTTAGATTACCGCAATAATTATTTATTCCGCTCACTCGCCGCCCGACTCTGTGGAAACTATTCAACTAAGAAACGCTATTTCTCGCTGGTCAGATAAGACGTTTGATTCTCCCCATTTTACCCGGGCTTTAATTATAGCCCCTGGTTTTGTGTAAAATAGTTGCCTGAGTAATTTAATCTAGATATCAGTATGCGAGGTGGCGTTCGAAGACGAGAGGCGGAAGCCAATGTCTGAATGATTTCGAAGAAAAAAATTCCGCTCTATTTTCAGAAATGAAATTGTTTCTATCGCCACGTCATCAGGGTTGAGTGAAAAAAAATTCTCGAAAACAAATCATTCTTGTACAATATTATTCTTTTTATTTAATATTTTTGTGAATTTCAAATAATTTTACAAATTGAGAGGTACATAACAAATAATCATAAATAAGGTTAAGTAAGATTCAATAGCATTTAGAATAAGATGTATTTATAAATAGTGTTTCTAAACACATCGAAATAAAATGCACACTTTTGGTTTAAAATCATAGCCCGCAAATTCGTTTAAACATCCCTTATCTTTTTCCTTTTACTAATTCTTAAATTTAAGTTTGCTCTTGTTCTCAACTCCTTCTTAATATAAACTGCAAACAAGTTTTGTTTACGTACTCAACCACCCTCTCATTCCTTCAGTCGTTGAACTGCGTAACTATACGAAACGCTGGCAGCACGATATAGGGCCGTAAAAAATAAGCGCACATCAGACTCGAGCATGTAATTCTAGCGCACTCTTCCGGCCCGAACAAAGGAGAGAGGGTAAGAACACGAGTTACTCGACACCCTGTACCTTACGCAGATTTGTTTCTCACTGCTTTAACGTATCACAAACAAAAATAAACCTTCTGTAACAAAACACTAGCAGCAATTTCCATTATAAAAAGACATATTATCATCAAACATTTCATAGCCGCAGAGACTCAGGAAATTCGCGATAGTCAAATTGTACTCTTACAGGGCGTGTTGGTATTAAATTATTTCATTTACAACTGTGTTCCCGGAGTATAGAGTTTCATTTGCATCAAGACAAACAGAAGAAGGGTCCTCAGGATATTGAAAGTACGTAACATGAGGACTGCAAAAGAAAAATGTACCTTTAACGACGACGTGAGGATTCTGGGAGTCTAGAGAAGAAATAAGCTGTAACAGGATGTCATTTAGGGTAAAACCTCTTTCGTTTTATTTTCTTTTCATCTGATTGTTAAAAAGCGTGCATTCAGTAAAATAAGATATATTAAGATATATTTTAACAACATATTTTTCAAATTATATTCATATTACAGACTAGTATATCTTATCTAAGCAATAAATAAAATAACTCTAAAATACCTAAGTTGAATTTTAAAAGACGATTTGGTTTATTATATGAATTATAAATAACAAAACAAAGTCCCCTCTATCTAAGTGAGGAAAAGTCTAGGTCTTTTAGGGTAACGTTAGGCTGACGACGTCGACGATAACGATTAACATGTTATATACATTTTAGTAAATATAAAAAAATATAAATAATAAAGAAGAAATAATTTAGTAATAACATGACTACAGTAAATTAAACTGAGTGATTAACCAACGAAAAACAACACAAACGAGTGTTACGCCCACGAGAACACGTCCTCAGGTAAAAAAACGCTAGTGTATATTGTCGGACGCACGTGTGTGAACACTGGAGCGCGACTGTACTTATAATCGCCCCTCGTTTGTAACTACTTATAGGTAAGTAGCTATCGCAAGTCCTTTGTTCTAGCAGCTGATTGGAGCCGGCCCCGGAAATGCGTATCACCCCACCCCCTCATTGGTCCGTTTCATTTTCTTAGCGCGAGAGAGACGCAGCTACGGTGAAACATGTAGTTACGGATACGGATCTCTGTGTGTAAGACATTAGGTAGGTGACGCAAGTCCCTTGTTTCGCCTGTTCACTATGTTTGCGCGGCACTGCGCTAAGATAAACTATTGCGAAACTTTCCTCCTGTGAGTTTTCAAAGTGTTTTCGAAGTTTGTCGAGTCGATTTTCAACTTTATTGGATTATGTTAGAAACTATTTCGTGGTTTGCAATAGGTGAAAGCAAACGTAACGAGAGTATAGTAAAAGTAACAGAAATGTAATTTATGATCAACAAAGCTAAGCACCCTTACGTTGCCACAACTTGTAAAGGACTACACCTAAAATATATTTTGAGTAATAGTTACCGTAAACATTAACCGCTTAGTTCGTATAGTGGTCGTATACGCAACTGCTGATCATTTGGTCTCGGTTTCGAATCCCGAGTCAAACAACAATCAGTTAGTGGGTATTTCTGTAAAGATGATCTTTCTCCGAGCATGTCGGATTGACATCCCATACTATATACCTTACATCATAGCGAATATATTGTAACATACTATCAACGCTTAGTTCAGCGCACATAAGTAGTACAAAATAGCTCTTTACAATATCAATTATCGTGCATCATAATAATCATATTTGTTGAGGACTATAATATTAACGTAAAGTTTACTACATTTTTATATCAACAAACTAAAATATGTTACGCAAACCTATTGTAAAAAGAAAATTCACTTTTATAATAAAAATAAGTATATAAAACATTAACTAAGAGCTGCAACGTGATCGCTAGGCAGCGATCGACCAACCGCCACTTATCGCGGCTGTCTGCCGCAGCCGTCGATCCAGCGGCGCGATATTGTTTATGGAACGCGTTGAATAGCTGTCGCCTAATTGCGATGCCATAGGGAACACGTTCGAGACTTAAATATTGTGGGTTAAGTTTTAGAATTAGGTTTTAAAAGATGTCGTTAATACAAACGTTCATCTATGTTGCGAAACCTTGTAGGTACCATTCTCCTATAAACATCCAGGAAATAAATATTTACATTAAACTATTTCCGAAAAGAAAACACCATTTTAGGTACAATAATATAATAAGCAGACATTTAATTATATAATGAATTGTACAACCCATAGTAAATATGTAAATAAAAGCTTCGGTTTACGGAAATTTTAATTAATTATGATTTTTAAAATTAAATACGTCTAAGAGCAAAGTCACCAAAGTCACAAGGGTGAAAGGCAGTCCACCTGATGGTAAGTGGATTCTGTAACACATAGACATCTACAACTGATCATGAAGGTTCACCGTTTTTGTTACTTACTATATGAATCACAGCAGCATTTTGATGCTATTTTACGCTTGTATACTATACTTTACTTGCGGAGTCATAATATTGCTGCAGCCGAGCTCTACCACGTATCTTTACCACATATGTGCTTTTCTTTATGTTACTTTCAACTACTAGCTGCGGCCGGGATCCAACTTATTTTCCTTAGACCCTGCCCCCGAGCTACCACGTTTCTCTCGGGATATTAAACATTTTAGCATTATTAAATATATTTAAACAGTTTGTGAAATATAATCAACGATGAAGAGATATTTATTAAAGTACAACATAATCGACGGATTGTTAAACAGATATTTAGAGAAATCTAATCATGGCGCAAGAAAGCGAAGAAAATAGATAATAATACGGATATGTCGCTAGTCTTTTAAATAAATTATAACCTAAATTAAAATAAAAATCTATATAATATAAAAATATGTAAATATCTACATATTGCTGACGTTTAAAATTCTACAAGCTAGATATAATATTGTAGAACACGCAGATGAGGAGATAAGCGATGCCCACTAACCCGATCTGATGCGGACGGGAGCAGGCAGTGGGTGGCTAATCGGCACTCTATCACGTCGATGTCATGCGCAGACGGCCGCCACGTGTCCCGCTGCGTGGTGCCTACGCATTTTGAAACATCGGAATTTTGAGAGGCTACCAAACGTGTCCTTAAAATAATGTCCCTACGTAGCTCTGTGCTTTCTCATTTGTTTATTACACTATACTTAATACGCAGGTGTATTTAAAACTGGGTACATACATGTTCTTGTATGATCTACGCATACTCTAATATATCGAGGGTTTACTGCAAAAACCTGCTAAATGACAATTTTTCAAAAAATTTGTTAAATACATGAAGGTACTAAGTTTTTTGAGCTCTATATGCTGGTAAAACCGGCTAAGTGATACGTTAAGCCGTTTAGAATTTATTTCATGGTAAAACCAGTTAAATCAAGCAAAATGGCCTATACTTAATAGCTAAAATAACATAAAGTTCTTTACTAATAAATTTCCATTTAATGTTATCCCGAAAAAAGTTTTAAGTGTTCTTAAATCCTTTCTCTTTTTGATAGGTTACGCAAAATGTTCTCACGAACAATCAGTAAAAAAGTACTAGAAATACATAAACGTATATAATAGAATATACTTGTTTATCATGCCATTAAAACATTACTGCAAAAACCGTCTATATAACTTTAATTGTAAATACTTGTACTAAAATATTCCATTTATCTCGGATCGTTAGCATGTAAAACCGACTAAGCGATTCTAGCTTGTTTATGCAATATACTTCGATTGAATTGTCGTCATGTGACACTATGGAAAAAAAAATAACCGCGGTCAACACGTTTTAACAGGTTGCCGATGGCTTAGTTCGCTTGGAGTGTTTACAGCGAAAAGACCGTGAATGTATCGGGCGTAGTATTTAAATTTAGTTTTTAGTAATTGTAAGTGTTGTGACAGATTATATTTGTTAAGATGATGTCAAGAGGAAAAAAACTAGTATCTTTAGTGGCCGTAAATTGTGAAAAGGTTTCTGGTAAGTTAAATTTCGAGGTTGTGTTTTCTAACGAAGTTTTATTACAATTTCTGTTCATTTTTTCTTATAGAGTTGTTTATTTTTTAGAAAATGAACAAAGTTCACATGCAGGCCTGGTAGATATTCAAGAAATTCAATCTACATCTTATAACAACGCGGATGCTATAGACCTTCATCATTCACAAATTCATGGTAAAATATTAAGTACTTAATTTATAAATAGTACATACTACTATAGACTATTATATTATCACTCGCGTTTGAGATCGATAAAGACGACTTTTTTACATACTTTCTAGTATTCAAATAAACATGGATGGCTTGTGTCAAGGTTTATAAAAATGACAAGTCAAATGCCAACATTAAACGTTTAATTAAACGTTTAAAAAAAGAATAAGATCCAATACTAATCAAAATGCTTAAACTTTATACTGTATTTTTAGATGGTCCGGGTAACGAAACGTTCTTCAATACTCTCATTAAATCTACGGCATGCTGTTCTAAATACCAAAAAGGTAAAAATACTATCTTTTTCTTAATAAAGTACATGCAAAATTTATAATTTAAGACCTCTTAATCTGAATTTTAACTTAGCATTTGTGTCTCTTTTAGGCGAAGATTCTGATGATAATGTTGAAACAGAATTGGAAAGTTTATTTGGAGATGTTTCCGATGCTGACGACCCAACTTATCGCCTGCCAATTTTCTCTCACCAACTGGAAAACGAAAATTCCAACAATCTTGTAACATTAGAAGATTTACTAGGAAACAAAGAAAATTTTAATGCTGAAAAGTTTGATGTCGAGCACATACAGAACAATATTGAAGTTTTTGACCAAGGTTATGAACAACATCGCGAAATTACAGCTATAATTGAAGATATTTTGGATGAGGTTTTTAAAAAAGCTTGGTTACTTATTGAACCGTTAAAAAGATGGCGAAAATCAGACCCAAGCAGTTGGGCTCGTAATGTAGTTAAGAAAAGACGAGCAGATGGTTTGCCTTATAAATCCAAAGCTAACATCAGACCAGCTAAGGTACCAAAAGAGATAGATTGCTCCAAGTGTCCATTTAAGTGTACTGATGTCTTTGATACTACTGATAGAGATAAGTTTTGTAGATTCTTTTGGAACTTAGATTTTCTGGGCAGAAAGAATTTTATTTTAGCCAATGTTACCATTCAAATGCCAAAAAGAGTTCTCTCTGTGCGTAATCGACGTCGTCCAGAAAAAAAATATACAAAGAAGTGTTTCTTTACTAAACAAAATTTAAAAAAACAGGTATGTCAGAAATTTTTTTGTAATACTTTAATTATTTCTCCTGCAGTAATAACTGATGCAATCAATAAACGGAATGACATGAACTGTTTTGATGTAAATGACCAAAGAGGTGCACACGAACCAGTTAATAAAACGAAACCTGACATTATCCAAGGAATAAAAAAACACATCGAATCATTTCCTTGTATGGAAGCCCATTATAGTAGAAAAGACACCAAACGTAGGTATTTAGATAAAAATCTTAATATTCGAAGGATGTATTTATTGTACAAAGATGAGTGTTTAAAAAATGGTTCTGAGCCAGTTTCTGAAATAACATACCGTAGAATATTTTCAAAAGAGTATAATCCGAGTTTTTTCGTGCCCAGGAAAGATCAATGCTTAATATGCACTAATCATGCTAAAGCAGATACAGAGAAAAAAAGAGAACTTGAAGATGACTACCTAGCTCACCAAGAAAGAAAGAAAATTTGCAATCGAGAAAAAGAGAAGGATAAAGTTAGATCAAACACAGATGAGCATTTTAGCTCTGTAACATTTGATTTGCAAGCAGTACTTCAAATACCTGCCAGCGACGTAGGTCTGCTCTATTATTCAAGAAAGTTGTGTGTATACAACCTCACAATCTACGAAGCAGCTCTACCCAATAATGCCTTTTGTTTTACATGGTCAGAGGTAAATGGAAGGAAAGGCAGTTCTGAAATTGGAACCATATTATTACACTACCTTTTAAATTGTGTCTGTGATAATGTTACAGAAATTAGCTTATTTTCAGACACTTGTGGTGGCCAAAACCGAAACCAATTTGTGGCTGCTTTGCTTCTTTGGGCAGTCCAAAAAATTGACCACCTTAAAGTCATAGAACAAAAGTTTTTAGAATCTGGGCACACGCAAATGGAAGCAGATTCTATGCACAGTAGTATAGAATTTGCAAAAAAAAATTACCTCTGTTTTTTCCATGATGGAATGGATTTCTATTTTCAAACGTGCTAGACGCAGGCAAAGTATTAAAATTGATGGTAAGAAAATGACAAGAGAACCATACCATGTAAAAGAATTTAAGTATGATGAGTTCCTTGACCTGAAGCACCTTGCAGGTGAGATTATGAAAAATAGAACGAAAGATGAGAAAGGAAAACAAGTTCAATGGTTGAAGATAAAGCGGATAAAATATGTTAAAGGGGAGGACAGAAAAATTTATTTCAACTATGACATGAGCGACGAATTTTACGTAATGGATATTGGAGACAATCCATCAACTTTCCAATTAGATGGCGCGCAGAATCACAACTATTCAACAAGGAAGAAGAAACGACTTACTGAAAATGATTTACCTGTAAGTTATCGATTTCCAGATCAATTAAACTGCCTTTATAAAGAGCCACTTAAAATAAGCGCGGCCAAGAAAAAAGATCTTTTAAATCTATGTAGGAAAGGCATCATACCAGAGGAAGTTCACGGTTGGTTTGAAAATTTAAATGTTGACAGTCAAGCTATTGATAAATTGCCAGAACCAGCAGTAGATGAAACTGTAAGTGGAGAAGTAGAGTGATTTCTTAATAATTAAGATATTTGTTAAATTTAATGAAAATACTATAGTAGTTACACTCCACACTCTTCTTCTCCACTTTCAAACTGATTCTATTATAATTTTTATTAGTCAATAAAAATAATATTGTGAATTTAACCTCTTATTTTACAACACTTTTATCCTAAAAGTTAAAAAACATTTACAGGTAAAACCAACTAACTTTTTTCTTTCATAGCTTACACAATAAATTATTTCTTTTATGATTGTATCAGTATTTAAAACGTAGTTATTTATTATCAGCTACCCATCATTAATCACAAACCATATAAAACATCAATTATCTCGGTAAAACTGCATTTTAGCAATTGACATGTAAAACCGACTAACTGCACGCCTTTACTTGAAAAAATCCTTATTTCAAGATTTCTGTCACACATATTTATTCAGACTTCACATAAACATAATCTTATATAAATATTCTAACATATGACTACTAATGTATGTAAGACCTACCAAAATTTTAGTGATTAAATTAGGTGTAAACTTTTAGAACTCTTTAACTCAAAACTAACTTCGCTGAACTTAGCTGGTTTTTGCAGTAAACCCTCGATATACAAATGAAATTCAGTTCTTGTTAGGTATAAAAGCTAAAGTTACATCTTATACATATGTCCCACTGCAGGGTTGCACTGTTATATCTGAAAGGGATTTTAGGGCAAGGAAGCGTCTACCTTTTCTCTCATACAAGCTTTCCTCAAGCCCTTTTCCTTCAACACGGAGAACGTGTTAATTCACGGCTTAAGTTGCAACCCTACAATTTCATTGGTGCCACTGGAGTTCGCACCAAGGTTGTTTTACTCGCTCTTGTATTAAAAATAGCCCTCTCAGTTTTAGGACAAGGAAGAGTACACTGCGCTGCGCAAATACTTTCACGGACTTCACTCTTTGAAATATTTTCCCCAAACCTCAGTAATGTGAGAACCTCTAACAGACAAGCACGTTGCATGCGTAGATATACGAATAAAAAAACCAGAGAGGTGTATAAGGATTATGCCAAATGGAAAACCGTAGTCTCTGCCTACTCCTCTATGTGACAGCCGATAGAGATTATGTTTATGCTTAGGTAGATAAATATGTACTACGAAATAATTACTACGTAATGTGCCAACCATCCCCTCGACCATATATATCGATATTTTTTATAGAATATAGATGACGAACGAGCACACGGTGCACCTGATGGTAAGTGGATGCTATGGCTAATAGGCATCTACATTAAATCTCGATTAAGAATTAAAATGCAGATGCGTTGTCACCCCTGAGGACTAAGATGGAATTGGAATGCCTCGTATCCAGTAAAACGAGTCTCCGGTTGTCCACACTCACCATACGAAACACAGCAGCATTAAAGCTGCTATTTTGCGCTGATATTCTGTGAGAGCGTGGTCCTTCCCCGGTCGAGCCGACCCATTCGTGCAACAACCATAATAAAACAGCAGCGTGGCTCTACCACGTATATAAAGGGTAGTGGACGACCCGTCACACGAGGTCGCCGCAAGCAAATATGACTTAACCAAGTCCGCCCCACATATATATGTATGTCAAGAAATAAAAATTAAGACAGTTTAGAGCCACCTGCAACCATCGACTTCTTGCATGTCTTAGCAGTTTGTTACTCCATCTATTGGGAGAACTGCCGGTAGATATATACAAACATATATATATATATATATACATATATAAGTAAAGTAAAGTTACAGCATATATACGTCCCACTGCTGGGCTCAGGCCTCCCCTCATTTCTGAGAGGGTTTTAGGGCAAGGAAGTGTCCGCCGCGCTGCCCAAATGCGTGTTGACGAACTTCACATGTCTTCGAAATATTTTTTTTTCTTATTCCTCAGACATGCAGGTTTCCTCACGATGTTTTCCTTCACCGCCGAGCACGTGGTAAATCAGCACTTAAAATTGCAATTAACAATTTCATTGGTGCCGGCGGGGATCGAACCCGGGTTACCGGGCTACCGCGGCTCTACTATATATATATATATATATATATATATATATATATATATATATATATATATATATATATATATATATATATATAATATGTAGAGCCGCGAGCTCTCAGAAATGAGGGGGAGGCCTGAGCCCAGCAGTGGGACGTATATAGGCTGTAACTTTATTTACTTTACTTTTATATATATATATATATATATATATATATATATATATATATATATATATATATATATATATATGCGAAATATCACTGACTGACTGACTGATCACTAAAATACACCCGATTGACTTGAAATTTAGTATAGCTACTCATTTCGCAATTTAAAATCAGTTGTTAGCAAGCAAGAAAAGATTTCTGTTAATCCCTTTTTATGTATTATATGTGTGTGCACAATATCGTCTGCCGCAAACTTCTCTTGTCAGACCTGTTGTAAAACATATCGTTCTCGCATCGGTTTGTTCAGCCACCAAAAGTGATTCTCAGATATTGCATCATAAATTAACTGTTATAGACGCAAAGGCCAATACATACTACCAATCGTTAAGTCAATATACCAAACCTCAAAGTAATCTTATTTAATCCATTTCGAAACGATAAAGTATAAGTCAAACATTATTAATCACGAACATCTAAAAGCATTCATAAGCTATCAAAACTGAAATTAAAAAGAAAGATGTCAAACTTGACGGTTAAAATTAGAGAGTAGCAAAACTTAATACGAAATAAGTATTGCCTAAACGAAACTTAACTAATCAAAATTGAGCACGTTATGTAATAAGCAATTCACGTGAACGGTCCATATTTTTAAACTTTTAATTGAGTTCTACATTTGGAAACAAGTTTATTGAGACCTAAATAAAGTATTTATGACGTGTACACCACTGCGCTGAAATTCGCCTTTCAACTTTTTGTATGAATTATTAGGCAATGTTATAAAACTGTTCGTAAAGCAATTGTGTTCGCTCCATCAAAGTCCCATGTAAACTTTGAATGTTTTTTCAATAGCGCCAGCAACAAGGCATTGTTTCAAAAAGGACATTCATGGAAATATAGCTTATTGATTTCTTTTAGTATTTCAGTTCTTTTGGGGTCCAATTTTAGATCGCTCTTTATATTTACACCTAAGGAGTTTAAACTCATGGGAGGTCTTTATAGCTAGATAAATAGGTACAATAAACCGATATTGGATGTTGATAATCGATATTTGTGCTCAATTGTACAAGCACAATAGGGCTGGTGACTCCCATTGTTAGACACAACAAACAGGTGTAGTATGGCTAAAATTGAGGCATAAACTGCATCATGAAAAAACTCTTTGATATGTTTATCAACCCTTTACATATCAGGGGCGGTCTTTTAAGAATCGAACAATCGGTGGCTTTTGAATGGGTTTAACGATGATTATCGTTAAAAGGCCTGAGGTTACTGACAGGTGAGATGTCAACCGCATGAATAGTATGACGTTGGCTTCAATAGTTGTGTATTTTTAAGTAAGGTGACCCGATAAGATAGCTTGCGTTTGTTAACTTTCTTTGTACTATTTACTAAATACAGGTAGAGTTTTATATTATAGGCCATCGATTGTGTGATAAATAGAAGACATATTTTTGAAAAATAATACACACAGAGCACAGTTTACTGAAACAGTTAAAAACGGGTTGCAGCACCGATTTACTGCAGAGGCCATAAATGGTTGTTACTCTAAGTCATAAAAGCTATAAACACAAGTTTTTATGATTTTTGAGAGGAACATGTAAACTTTTTATCTAAATATCAACCTCTTCTATACGCGGTGCACGTTTCTGCAATCACAATAACAAATCATTAAGACCCGAACACCAACAATTTTTACTTTCGCATAAATATACATAGCCGACTCGAACACGAAATCCGTGACTTGATAGTCAGAAACCAAAACCAAGCCAAGTGATGTTCTATACAAACTATATTTCCGTTAGAACCCACGAAGAAAAAACGTTGTTCTAAGAATTTACTCCTTATAAATATGTAATATGTTTATAAATCTTTGCAGTGTAGAGCAGAGTATAATACCGCAGTTAACTAAAATAGGATCGAAAAAATCTCACACTACTTCAGTATTAAAACAAGTGGGACCTACAAAAGCGATACTCTAAAAAATGCAGTGGAAAATACATCGTGAAGTTTCCGTTGAAAGTGAGGTAACGCACGGAGCGTTGCCACTAACCAACCGTAGAGCTGTGGAGGTGGTACAAGTGTAAAAAACCATGCAGATGGATTTTACAATATTTGCGCAAACTGTCATTTGATTAATGATTAGTTGAAGTTAAGTCAGATTCGTTACCTATCTTTGAAACCCTGAAGCAGAAAGGTTTAGAATTTATGCGATTTTTAAATACAGATTTGAACAGAATTTTCTTTGATATGTTTATTAAACTACAGCCTTTAAATGATAATCA